CAATTCTTACCAAAGCCACTTTGAAGAATGCAAAGTTTTTTAATTTGTGGTTTCCACAAAAGCAAAGTTGAATAACGGTGTACATTTTAGCCGCACTGAATATGTCATAAAACTATTTTCTGCAACAATCCCGTCATTAATTACGATACAATAACACGTCGAACAAGTATTAATTTAGAAGTCAAACAACAATCTTATCTAATCTTAATCTTCTTATCTTATCTAATCACTATATCTTACCTTGTTCCTTTGCATAAACTTTGGTATTTGAAGCTATATTTTAGTACACTGCCTAAAAGAAATGTAAAATAATGGAACTTTTTGAACGGAAGGATTTTTTGTACTTTCGCTAAACTAAAAAAATTTCTTTAGTTTGACCAAAGAAAAATTCTGCTTCTTTACCATTACATTTTTATCTAAACATTTCATTTTGTTTCGCTGAGATAAACTAAACGACATACGTTTTTTAGCCCTTCATTTCCTCCAAAATGCCCAAATGTATCCTTAGAAACACTCGAACATCCTTCAAAAGCTTCAAAAACCACCTATTGCATATTACTTAACCAATCTTTATAAATTAAAAGAGCATTTTCTCTTTTTTCCACGCACAAATCAGCTAAAAATCTTTTGCAAAAGGATTAGTGCTCCCATACACTCATCTATATTTTAAAAGGAAATCAGTTTTTACATGTTTATCTCATATTCACATATTAATAACAAAATATATATATATTTTACACATTTTGTATCTCAACTATGGTAAGTAAAAGTCTAAATATTTCTAAAATTCTCATTTTTATGGTGCACTGATTAAAAACTATGATTTATTAAAAGCATATATCCAAAAGTGGGTTTCTTATGAATGTGACATTTTATAAAGAGTTTATAATTAAAATACCTTACTAGGTGTTGTATACTGAACACATAAAGAATTTCTACGCAATACTTGTCAAAAACAAGAATAAAACTTTCTCCTGACTGCAGTATTATTGAAACTCTGTTCAGTTTTATGAAAGTGTTCCATTTACTCCTAACACTTGCAATAAAATTTATAATTATGTTGACATGAATGCCTTAAAGAATAGGGAGATGTTTTGGAACAGGTTATTCTGCGCCTCCATAAGAATGGACTAGATGTTAAGATGCTTCTAAAGAATTTAAATTAAAGGGCGAACGACTGGAACCAATAATATTAGCTTTTAAAAATTAGACATTATAATTTTTATTCAAAATGTAGAGCACTGTGGTTGGCTTTTTCAATTCCTTCTGTTCAACATATCGGATAAGTTCGCTTATTTTGAACTTTAAAATTATGCGGGAAAGATATGTTCACTTATCCTGAATATTAACGATTTGCGTCTTTCTCCTACATGTGAAAAATCCCATTCATAAGGAATTTTATAAATGCTCATGTGTTTAGATCAAGCATTTCATCTTTAATACTGGAGAAATTCATTTTAGTAAAAGTTTAAACAATGCAAATAAATCATACTGTATGAAACATATAGGGAAGCTAGGTTAAGGCGTAAGAGACAAAGATAGCGACAGGAGCTGAAAGCGCTTAGTTATTGGAGGGAAATAAAGGACTAGAAAATGTTTTATAGGTGCTGTCAATTATGGTGTAATCAAGAAAAACAGCAAAAACCTCTTAAAATATTAAGTTTTTGTTAAGGTAGCAAGGGAGGGGAAAATGTAAACTACTTAATAAACAAAGGCCCAGAACTATAAAGGAGCACATGTGATCAGAAGGAACTGAAACTTTTCACTGCTGTTTTCCATTCTTGAGGTAAAAGTCATATATTTCAGTTTTTTCGAATACCTGGATTATCGCCTATACTAATTTGCCTATTAATTAGGATTTCGTAGAAGCATTCGAAATTTTCCTCCATAGAAACTTCAAGAATGATATAACTTCTATTCCATTCCTCTCAAAGGTAAAAGAAAACTTTTTTCAAACCTCACCTCTATTTGTGCAATCAAGCATTTCAACTTTCGCATATAGCACTATTATTATGTGCTACGTTTTAGCAGTTCTCTCATTAAGTTGAAACGAGTTTCAATGACTCTGCAGTCATTACGTTGAACTAAGTTTCAATAACTCTGCAGTCATTACGTTGAACTAAGTTTCAATGACACTGCAGTTTTTTTTCCACTGCAATAACGCAAAAAGAATTTTTCTGCGTAATAAGTGTCTTATATACAATAAAATTTCATTCCTATCTAGTAAATGCAGTTCTGTAAAATGTGTAACCTATTAACCAACTGTTAAAATAATGCAAACAACTCATATTAGTTTTACGTAAGTCTCGCAATATCCGTTTTACTTTACTTTACAGAAATTCGAAGTAAATAAAACTTTCATCTCATTTTCGAATGATTCAAGCTAAAATATACAAATACAAACCAAATATACAACTACTGATGCTTTCAGCTGCGATATTCTCTTGAAATACGAGTAAATAATAATATAATTAGAACTTGAATATTCACATAACATGTTAGCTGAAAACAGCATCTGAGTAGACTCAAAATGTTACGTGTTTTTGCATAAACTGCTAAATATCATCAGACGTTATTATTGAAATATAGATTTAAACAAATAACCCATTTATTTTTATCAAATTAAGTTTTTAACTCTCGTTAAATATATTTCAACTCAAAGTCAAAACTTCTGAAAATACCTTATATTAAGGTGGAAAAGGTTAAAACACGAAGTTCGAGAAGAAAATTAAAGTATTTTTTTAAATACTGTAGCGAAATTGCAAGCAATGGCTCTTGTTCTTTAGTCCGAAGGTTATCTTGAAAGAATTAGCCGTTATCTCATGAACTTCCCTCATGATTGATTGGCAGAAAAGCTCACGGGAAATGATGGGGAAATATTTCATCTTTTTAACCAACACGAAAATTTTCTGTTAACAAGATAAAAATACTTCCCCAAAGAATAACATAGACATCGGAGATTAAAATCGTACTGTAACAACGGAAGAAAGAAATTAAAATCTTTCGACAACTCAATAACTACGTTTTTATGAAACACTTGGGCTTTAAATATTTCTTATAAAATATGACGTATTAAGCTAAACTAAGGTAAGATATTTTCTGCTGTGAAAAAGTTATCAAAAACTCGAAAACAACATAAGTTGCCCAAATCAAAAACAATACTTCATAAATCTCTTCGTTGTGATTCAAGCCAATACTTTCTACTGTTTTACAGTAGAAAGAAAAGAATCAAATTTCCTGATGATATTCGTTATTGAATTCAGTAACGCGTTATTATTGATATTCATTATTGAATACCAGTTACTGATGATAATCATTATTGAATTCAGTAACTTGAGTTCATTATGGAAACTGTAAATTATTAACAGTGACGTTACGCAATTCTTACTTGAATTATATATTCTTATTTGAATTATATATTCTTACTTGAATTGTATTCTTACTTAAATTGCATATATTACAAGATTAGAGAAATGGATATTTCTAAATTGCTGAATATTTTAAACTTTCTTTGTGGATGAAGATTAAATCATAAAATAATACTGATTATACATAATTAATTAAATAGAACGTTTAAACAGGTGATGCTGGCTAAAAAAATATCTTCTGTATTGAAATTAGAGTAAAATTCGATTATTCGAATTAAAGCCAAAACGGATTACACAATTTAATATTTTCATAGCGTAATAAAATTTGAAATTAATTCCTAACGATTTCACATGCTAACACTGTTTAATAAACTAATTATAATAAATGCAATAATATTAAATTAAATTAATAATTAATAATTAGCAATTAAGCAAAATAATGTTAAATATCATTTTCGTTTGAGAGGGAGTTCAGGCCTATGTTTAACAAAAAAATATTTTCGCTTTTTTTACTTTCCATCCAGCAATTTATTATTTTAAAAGTTCATTATTATTATTATTATTATTTTAAAAATTCATTATTATTATTATTATTAAAAGTTCATTTTTGGCTTTAAATATTTAATATTTACGTTGTATAATAATAGAAATGTTTTCAACCATTAGGTGGTTAACTAATGGTTTTGTTAAAAGGTAATTTTCTTGTAAAGACTATGCATGTTAATAATCTAAAGGGTAAATAATCTAAACAGCAAATAATCTAAAGAGAATTAAGAAGCAGTATCTTAAATGCAAGTGCTCACTATTTTAGGAATAGTAACATCGAAGTGAATTTAGATATGCAACAAACAGACACTTAATACAATTGCAGCACTTCAAGAATAATTCTTAACAGTATCATACACAGTAGGTAACTTCGTATTCAGCATCACCTGAAACTTTGTAATTTTTGCATGCTTTTAAAACCGTCCGTGAGAGCATGAATATTCCTTCATTTTAATTAGAAGGAAGTCGTTCTGGATAATTGATTATATTGAAATAAGTCAAATTTGATACAGTAATCATTAGTCAGTGCTGATAAAGCAAACATTTCGCCATATGCAAAAACATATATTCATTTAAATAAGATGTATAACCAAGTTTACAAGATATATAACTTGTAAATATAACAAAAATGCAGCTTTTGATGTTATTAAAATGGCTGAGTGCAATAAATATAAATCGCTTGAAATGTATAATATAATAGCTATCTCAAAAAATAAGTAGTTTTTACTCTTTTTTTCTGTTATATTAAGACGATAAAATTACTGTGGTTGTTTTTGGCAGAATCTATGAAATTTAAAATGTAATTAAATGGGCTAACAGCTTTCTTGTCATCTCACATCAAAATATTGGTCTTGAAGAAACGCTTTACAATATTGTAAATAAAATACTGATGAGAAACATGATTTGTTAAATCTCCTTTTCAGAAAGAAGTGTTAACAATTCTCTTTTAAGGTACTTCATTTTGCTCGGTTCATTTTTCTAAAACTGAAATCAAAGGAAAGTCTGCTATACTTCGTTGTTAGTAAACACAATATAAAACTATCTCTGTAGTCTGCTTTTCTATTTTATTTGCCTATTCTTTTCCAGGAAAATACAAATGCCGCGAAGTATGGCCTGACGTGGATTCTGAAAGAGTTTTCAATATTTACCTAGATGTAGTACTTTTGGTTATCCCTCTTCTCATCATGATCATCGTATACTCTCTGATTGCTCGAAAACTTTGCACCGGCTCCAAACTGAACTTTTCTATTGGAAAACGGAATGGTAAGAAAGATATTTATGAGACTTATCATAATTAAATAATGCATTTCCATTCAGCGGAATAATAAGGCAAGGCAAGAAATGGCCATTTATCCAGAATAATTTAGTATTAAATTTTTAAAAGATCATTTTGACTTAAAATAATTAATTACGCTGCGTAATAATAGAAATATTTTGAAACCATTAAATGATTAAATAATAATATTGTTAAAAATACCTTTCTTCCAAATAATATGAATGTTATACTACAGTAAATAATCTAAAGAGAATTGTGAAACAGCAGCTTAAATGAAAGTGCTTCGTATTTTAGTAATAGGCATTTGGAATTAAGTACATAGTCAAATTCTGGCATTTATTTATTTTTAATATAAACAACATGCAGACACTTAATATACAAAAGCATCATCTAAAGCAGGGCTTCTTAAACTTTTTTAAGTCGCGACCCTTTTTATCACTGAGATTTTTTTCGCGACCCCAGGACCCACATAATATTTACGAAACTTTTGTATACGGAGAAAAAATATCTCCGTATACATTTTGATTCATGAAACACTTTTGCTTAGCAGTTATTGGACTTTATTTCAGTACTTCAATGGTTGAATTCAGGCTGCTCTTACATACTGAGCTACCGAAAAGTAAACAACCTTCTTTGGATTATTTTTATCTAAAGAATTTTGATCTTGATGAAGTGATTTGAATGACGCTAGCCTTTATAGGCACTCAGTCACATCGAGCGTTTAACCTCTATTGCCTGACATAAAGTTATGAGCTTCAGTGTCACACTGTCCACAAAATCCAAAGCAATGAAATGGTCAATTCAATAAGAAAAAAAAAAGTACATAAATTGTGAAACCTAAAATGCTAACCAAAAGAAAATTTCAATATATAACCTGCAAATTTTCTTCATCTCCAAAATTATTGAGATTTCTTTATAGGACTTTCACTCCTGTTTCGGCATTTGCTAAAATTCAATCAAAATACTTTGCATTCCATTAAAATAACATCATTGGGAGGGAAAGTTTTATGCAAACCACATTAGTTAAGATAGTAACTACACATAATCAAACAGCCGCAGAAGCTGTAACATCATTAATAAAAATAATTTAGTTAAAACTCTCCTTGCGTGGCCTTTTCGAACGAACGCGCAGGTAATTAACATTTCGGATTAACGCGTAAAGGCAAAATATTACTTTCATTAAAAGCATGATTAACCTACTGTAGTTTATACAGTAGGTAATCATGCTTTTAATTTTAGCATGCTTTTAGGAGTTTATCCTAATTGTCACCTGTGACGGAGCTAGCAGCATCTCACAACAAACCAGCGGATTAGATTTCAGACCTAAATGTCAAACGTTCGGATTTGTGTCCATATATTCTACTCCGATAACCTGTATAAGAATATTTTCATGAGCACTTTTTGGTAAAATTAAAATGACAGCGTATATGGAGTAGATTCCCTTTTGCTGTACGTGACTAGCTTACTTAAAGCACTTTGCCTCGTTATGCATCACTTCAGATATTCTCAGATCAGCCTTTCTTGGAAATCGTCTAGTCAGCTTCTTCCGAGAGGATAGGCGAAACGGGTTCAAGCCGAATTCCTATTTCAGCCATTCCATTCGAAGTCACATAAATCTATTCCCTAGTAAATCAAACATAGCAACGTGGCCTTCCCAGGCAGACAGAACACACGCTCTACATTCACCTTCCAAAAACCTTTCCTTAAATACTAACTTCTTTCTACCTCATTTTTGAATGCACTCATGCTAAGTCATTTATATTCTGGAAAGAATGCGTGAGTATAAAGCAAGAGTGATAAGAAAGGTTGCTTCAATATAAAATTAACTGTTAAGTAAATTAAATAATTCCCCAGGACACATCATTAGATTTTCTTGAAAAAGAGACTTATTTTATTTTGAAGATATTTGAATTTCCTTTATAGGGCATTTTCTTTTCATTGTATTTTTATTGCTTTTTTCCATTACGATACCATTTTGATTAGTATCTTGTCTTAAATACAGCTATATTACTTTGTTATATTCTGTTAGATATTTGCTATATATAATAAGCAAGTATTAATTGATCCACTGCAATATACTGTTATGTTGAACTTCGCAAATGAGAGTTATTCTGAGTTATTTACTGTAAAATTAATATTAAGCCACGGGGAAGAAGAAAATGATGCATCATTAGTACTTTTCGTTACCGAATAGTAAAATTACATGAAACGTAACTCATTATTTTTTTCCATTTTCCCAACAGAAAAGAACATTACAATGGAGATATATATACATTCATTTATTTATTATGAAAAAAGAATGTTTTCTGGAGCCACTTTAATTCTACAAAAGATGAATAAATATGTTTCCGATATTATACATCAGATCGAAGAAATTTTCCTTTGAAAGCTGGGAATTATATCTTTAAAAGTGATAAAAATTTATGAGAGAACACAATCAGAATCGATACATTATTCTCTCAACTATGTGAGATACCAAATAAGAAACACTTCGAATAATCGATAGAACGACAGATGGTGTCAAATACTGCTCACAAATATCCATCTGTTGTATAATAAATAATTCTATGAGACATTATTGTAGAAAAGCGGGAAAAGTGTTTCCATAACAGTTAATAAATTCCTTTTTATTCCAATTTCTCGAGTATCACATTCTAAGCTATAATGAAGTATAATTTCCCACATCTTTTGCCGCTGTTTCTTGGCACTTATCAGACTGTCGTTTTTCGTTTATTTGACTAAATTCACCACGTAATTGCATGAAATTTGTTACAGCGAATTTTATTGGCAACTATCTTGTGCAGTGACAAAACGTTCGTGTGAAAAGGCTTTCACAAGACGTTTATGCATCTGCGCTTACACTTCTTTACTTTTTTTTATCAAATACATAGATTCTAATTAACTGGGACAGATCTTGAGATGAAGTTTTGATACAAGTAATAGCCTAATTAAATGAAGCTTGATTTTAAAATTAAAGCAGAAAAATTTTTAAAAGTCAAATTCATGAAGGTACAAATTATACATCAAAATGCGTTATGTAATAAAATGTAGAAATGAGAATTTGATAACCTCCCTTTAGCCAAAGGCTTTAATCTTTTTCATACTATCGTACGTAACGAAGGTTAATAACGCAATTTTATCCTTCAGATGCTTTAATGAAATTTATTAAAATACAATTAAATTTGTAATGAAGTATTTAAATTTAAAATCTTAATGTGGTAAACAAGCGCATACTTCCTCGTGAACACTTTTCCCAAGCGTCTCTGTGGGAAAAATTTGCACATCTTTTCACCTGTGACTGTATATATTTGAATAAAATCAGCACAGATATTAAATAATAAAAATAGGTTCCTTTCTTCGCTTTACTACACTAAATTTGTAAATAATACATTTTCAGACTTTCTTTGAAGTTACCATTCAGTTACAAATGTCCATGTGCTTCCTCAAACCATTCCTGATCGTTGTATTTTGATAAACTAAAGTTATAATCATTGGCTTCATCACTGTTTCTGTAGCTTTTCCATTGTAGTCAATATCTTCAAATTCTTAATATTATTTAAATTTCCAAATAACTTGAAACTCATTCTCAAGAGTTTCCGTGTTTTCAGTAATTGAATTTTTTTTAATGATACTGAGAAATGTATGTCCTATATTGTCTTTCTCTTTCTCTCTCTCTCTGAAACGAAAAGCATTGTTTAAAAATGTCCAATTTTCAACATACTGTCTTAGATTTAAAACGTTATATCAATATTTTTACTTCAAATATACCTAAAGATGAAATTTTTCAAGTTTCTGGTGCACAACATATTTAAGTTTTTTATTATCTTACTCACAGTAAGATCAAAGATGCAATGTTCTCAGATAGAAATTCTAGTTCAATGTTTATTACTACACTGTATCCATGAAGACTGATTATATGCTGAATAGTTAAATAAAATCAAAAAGCATAGTACTCGACATATTTCTTTAAAGCAAAACGTTTCATCGCATTTCCAGGCAACTAACAAGTTGCTTTGATTAATTCCTGGCAAGCTTGGATTTACAGAAGGCTATTATATGACTCATCTCTACTCAGAAGTAATCATATTCGCCTGATTACAAAATACAGATCTACTCGCTATGATGTGATATGACAAATCGATTTCAACAACACTAACTATAGTGTGTTTTAAACGAATTGCTCCATTAATTAGTTAGTGAATGGTTGAAATGAATACTCAAATCATGTGTTTTGCCGATCCTTCATGTATTACCACTTTGAAATGCTTTCATCGTTAAAAACTTGGGTACTGATATATTAAAGCTTTTGAAAATGTTTCATCCCATACGCATGCTATATCATTTCAAGCGTTTCTTTACGGCGTTTCCCTAATCAATACAAAATTTTATCACATCTGTGCCAAATAGTCACAAAAAGTCATCTCAGTTCCCCACAACAAGGCATATTATTTGCTTCAACACTCTGTGACCCAACCACGGAAAGAAGGCCATGGTTGCCCAACTACAGATTCAAACATGTCGGTGTACTTAAGATTCAGAAAACGTAGTACGGGGCTACCACATCTAGTATCGGGAGAGACAAACTCAGATATCCTAAATATATTTTAGTTAGCTCTTTTTATTTAAATTTTAAGCACCAAATGCTCAGTGGAAAAGGACTTGTTCCAGTCTGACAAGCATCTCACTTAAATCGCATGCTGCATGAAATAAGCGATAGAAATTTACAATTTTTTCGATAGATATTTGCCCTTTAAAATTTGCTGTTGTGGCTTATCTCACATGTCGAACCTAATCAGAACAAGTCCACGAAATTTATGGTAACAAAGAGCGCAAGCTTGTGCCTGTCGTAGTTATGGGCCTTAAACACCCTATAAGTAACAGTATGGCTTTCTCCAGGTCCGCCCCAATTTCGAAGGAAGATCCCTAGGAAAGGGATCGGAAGGTCTCAAACTCCTCTTTCCCAACCACTAAGCCACATGAAAGGACT